ATCCAGGAGGCTAAACCCAAAATACCAAAGATTCATTTTCCTTATCTGTAACAACTTTCAACAGGCATTTGTGCTGTGGGCACCACTTCACCACCATATCTACAGGTTTCCTTTAATGTTAACCTCAAGCAGCTGTGTCAAAGGAAACTACTGAATGCTCTGCAGTCCTTGTTAGCTTTGCAATGCTGAACAGAGAGCAATCAGGCTGGAGGCAGATGTGACAGAAATAGAAGACATCAGGCCAAACAGCAGATGACACAACAATCTGCTGAAAAGAGGTTAGGAGAGGTCAAGAGGGGACACCACTCCTGGTTAAGGCATGTAAAAAACTTAGTCCACTCCCGTGAACAAAAAGAATGACAGTCTGGACACTGGGCTTGAAAAATCAAGTTGCCATCACTTATGAAAAAATTATTTTTAATTTCATAGTATCTTAAACTCTCATCCTCCAGTCTTAGAGTTAACAGGCTAGTAAGTATCTTGCACTACTAACAACACACATTGCAAAACCTCAAATTACCTACCTGAAGCCAGCACACGGAGAGTTTTAGCCACTCCTCCCCATGGAGCGCCTAATGACACATAATCTTTTATGTACTTGTCTTTCCAATCCTGAGTCTGATGGTTGAGGAAGTAGAGGGTGTACATATTACCCATACTGTGGGCAATTAAGACAACAGGACTTCCATACTGCTCATACATTAACTCTATCATCTTGCGAAGGGCCACAAAATAGTCTCCATTCTCATCTAAAGTAGACATACAGAGGTCACACAGTTATAATTATTAATTGTGAATGCTGAACTTCAACACAATTCTTTAAAAGGATTTTTTTGAGACTGTCTCTGGAATTAATACTACAGAGCTTAGAAATTCCAGTATTAAGTGGGAAGGGTGGGTGTTTCTGTGGGGATGTGTTTTGGTGGTGTGGCTTTTTTGTTGTTGCTACTTAAGACTTAAAAACAAAACAAGTTGTTTAAAGCAAAAAAAAAACCCCACACCATAGAGCTTTCACCTGGGTGCAGGGGTACCCAGGCCCCAAGAGCTAGTCAAAATTAAGGTTTTAAGTATAATTGTGCAGGTAGAATGGGAGAAGAGACCCAAAACATTATTTGCTGGCTGTGAGAGTCAAAGTTTTGTTCAAGTAACAACGTGTTATTTACTTGGTGCCTTTCGCCAGTCATAAGGTGCTCCTCTTACATCTTCATCACGTTTGTAGCCCCAGTCTACTAAACTCTGCACCAGCATATAAAAGTAACTGCCTGTAGACATCAGATAAGAGAGAAACAGAACAGGGAAAAAGATTAGCATTAGAAGCAGCTGTCAGACACTCACAAAAAGTCAGTTCTGGCGGCATTATCTCTGATACCATATACAGACATTAGAACTGTAGTCTTTGTTTTTGACGATCTAGAAAGCTGCATGTTCAACAAAATTAGTTATGCTTGCTGTCCCCGAAAAGTGAGAGAATACCATTATTAAAACTTCTTACTAGTTGGCTGATCTAACAAACAAGTGTGGCAGCAAAACGCAGCATACACAGAACAGGTAAATTTTCATCAGCAGAACTGTGTCTCACCCTTGAACTGTAAAGAATACACGTCAGAATTACTACATTAAAGTCCTAGCTTCTGTTGATTGCAAATTAGCTTCAGATAGGGTATATAATACACTCATAAAGGTTGGCCTGGACTTCACCAACATTTATTCTTGGCAACAAATGCCTACAGCGTACCCCTGGGCAAAATTCTGGACACTATCCCAAAACTATTTTTCTATCTATCAGGTAGTGGACTAAGACTTAAGGGACTGAACATAATGCTTTAATAGCAAAGAAGGGAAACATTTGCAGACTGGCTATATATTAAAAGATGTTACGTATTACAAGCTTTGACACATAGGATGTAAGCATTACCACAATTAAATGTAACAGTTTGAAAAATTAAGTGTCAAAACATGCCATTGAATATCACAGTCATATTTAAGTTTGAGCAGAATTTCATTCGTTAGTCTTGAATGTTTATGAATTGAACATAGTCAATTTTAAATACAGCCCTGTTCTAGTTATAAGACTCATTTAGTGAAGACCATTAAGCCCATTACTGGCCTTTTGAGGATTGCTCCCTGCAGAAAAGAAATCCATGCTATGAAGCATGTGAAGCTCAGTGCATTACTGACTATTAAATTACTTAGGTCTTCAGCCACAGCTAACAACTCCTCACAAAAGCTTATTGGATTCAGTGTTTTCTGAAAGATGACTTCTACAAAAACACTAAACAAAAAAATCCTGCAAACACATTAATGCAGAAATCTTTTGCAGCACAAATGTAATTATGTAATTATTCTGACCCTGACAAAAGACAGGGAACTACAGAGAGTGGTACTGTATATCCCAAGTCCATTAACTCATTCTTAAGGCCAAAGAACATCTTACTCAGAACTAAGCTGAAATGAAATGTATTTATTTTAGTTTTTCTTGTCAAGCTTCAGCCACAGAATTTTCTACTCAACAAATGTCATATTCCAAAAGCATCTGTTTTCAAAGTGCCTACTCAAGTTTCATCCAAAGAACTCAGATTTGTCAGAAGACTGAATAACATAGAATCTTCTTATCTCAACCTATCAGGCCAAACAACAGACAAAACAATACAATGCAATGAAAACACTTAAAAGCAAAGTGAGCCATGTGCTACCCTACTAAAAAAAAATAATCTGGTTTTCTACTTCAGACAGAACTGTAATTTGAAATCACATTTCATTTCATTAGCTTGTTGTATAAAGACACACTAGAAAAATCCTACAAGTGACAAAGCACTTCAGACACAACTTGTACATACCAACGCTCCTTTTACTTGGGTCAAGGAATTCCAAGGAAAATGTCTGCCCAAAACCTGGGACTCTGATATCCACTCCATCTGGTGGTTCTGTAATCTTACTTGTTCGATTATATACCAGCCTGGGAGTTAAAAAAAAAGAAAGAAGGTGAAAAAGACAGGAAACATGTTGTATTACCACATGACAACTCTCAGCTACAGTGGGTCTTACATTCTGAGTGCAGTAACAAGAACTTTAAGTGCTATTACCCAGCAGAAAAAAAAAAAGGCAGACAGGATAAGAGTACTCTAATGGCTGAGAGGTTACACAATGCAAACAATTATTTTAATTAGTTTAATGCTTTACATGCAGAATCTGACTCTTCTCTATAAAACTGAGTAAACAGAACTATGGCTGAACTTCAACTTTAGAATGTAAGCTACTTTATATAGTTCTATACCATTTCACTTTGCACCAAGCCACATAATGAAGAAAATTTGTCAAGAACATAAGAATGTGGAAGATAAAATACTTGTAAAATCAGATATCAGAAAAATTCTCCTAGGTAAAAATAATTCCTTTCTGTTTAACTAGAACACCTATACCAGCGTAAGGGAGCACTTGATATTCTTCACTAATAACAACTGGTACCTCAGGAAACACATAGAGCTATTGAGTGTTTTGTAGATACTTTTCAAATCAATTTGAGATATGAAGAATCTGGAGCACTGGGTCAGAGTCTGGGGCTTGTTTTTTATTATTTGTTTGTTTGTTTTTAAATACCATATCAATACAATTGCCATTTCTGAATGTAAGTTTTTACCCCAGATGAAGTCTTAGAATCTGAATTGATACTCAAATCTTCACACACTAAAAATCTCCCTAACCTCTAAGGCATATAGCAAGACTTAAAGCAGAGGTACAACTACACGACAGCTTGATATATTGACATAAAAGAGCAATATGCCAATACAATATTTTTAAGTTGCACAAGCTAAATATTTCTTGTTTTCATAGAGATATTTATACGATTTTAACAGGAACATTAATGAAGCAGATTGAACGATGAAATACTCTGGAAGCTTTAAGTTAAACCACGTTTTAAACCAAAATAATTCTGGAAAGAAACTTCCAGACTGCCCTTGAAGGACCCCATGTGTCTGAGCTGCCCGTGAGACCGCTCTCCAACAGATGGCCAGCAAAAGTGCAAGCTCACATTCCTCCTGCCTGTCCTGTCTGTGCTGCCCAATGTACCCCATTCCTCCTTCCCTCATCACAATTTAAGTAACTCATCAAAAAAGCAGAAAGTGTTCTGCTTTAGATAAGCCCACAGAAGCGTCTGATAAGTGCCCAAACCAACACTGGGTAACTGGTAGGAGAGAAAGTAGAAAAAAATAAGAGACCCTCTGCTTCTCATCAGTGATGAACGGCTCTCTCGGATGCAACAGAGCCACATCATCTGATTCATCCTGTTACTCTACCTAGCAAAATTCCAAGTCATTTCTCTCACTGATCTTGAATCAGCAAAGAAAGTTTAAGGCGGTCATCCTGTACAAAGCATGTCAGCCTAGCATGTCAGGAAAGTTGATAACTGCAAAGAGCAAATTTCTGGTCTTACCTGATATTATCAATCCAGCAGTCAATGATGACAGGCAGAAGCAATTCTAAATTCAGCCAGAGTGTAAAATAACTGTCTGTCTTCTTAGAGCAGAGATAGTGTACTACTGACGGCTTATCTAACTTTGCTTCCAACTGATTACCTAAGTCCCCTGGAACTGAAAGATATAAAAAGGAGACACTTAAAGTCTATAACATTTTACATTATAATATACACATCTTAATACTGTAGCCCTCATATGCAGTATCACTGCATCCAGAGATACCACTAAGTTTTGTAACTGGATAAAAAAATTACATAAGTACTGCATGCACATTTTCCACTGAAAATATTTTAGATTTTTAAAAATCATGAGCTGAGGAACCACCATGTAGAATAATTCTGGATCAACAGTTCATAACTTCAAAGAGCAGACTATATAGGAACAAGTCATGTTAGGCCATGGGTCTGAAAAACAGATGGTCTCAGATGTTATCAACATTATCTGTGTTTTAAAGTGCGAATTGAATCTTTCTGAAATAATTTTTTCTTCAGAGTATTAGAACTGCACATTCAAGTCTGTCCTTTTTAAACGGTTGCCTGCAAACTATCGATTTGACATTAAAAAATGTGAAAAGTGAAAGCAGCTACATTTATAGTTTTTATTTTCATTTCTTCACCTCCGATTGCACTTTTGCTACACAAGATTTAGTTGGCTAGCATAATAATCCAAATACATAGTTTCCTGTCTTTTCCATTCAGGTTTGGATGCGACAACAGTTTTGATGGGTTTTTTGTTTGACACATTGCTTCAGTAATACTTGGCGGGAAGGGTCCTGTATTTGCACCTTCTCTGAAGTGCACTATTCTTAAGGCTTATACTAAATGCCAGTATTCCTTTGATGAAGTTTTATTTCCCTTTATTTATTTTAAACACTAGACAGAGACAGGCGTATTATTTCTAAATTAGAACTAAGCTTAAAAAAATGCTCTTACAATTTTCAGCAGCAAGTTTCCAGAGAAACTTCTTACATTTTGTTACATTTAATCATTTTTTCCTCAAGAACCAGAAAGGCAAAGACACTGAAGTAACTGAGAAGTTTCTCCGTATTAAAAAAATTCAGGGGTTAGGCACTTCTTAAGGGTTTCCCCGGCCCCTTTCAGCTCCACACACTCCCACCTCTTTTGGGTGTGTATAACTCTATCCTATTTACTTGTCAATGTCTAATTTTGAAGGTTTTTTAATGCAGGCCTACCCATACAGTTGTTGTTTTTTTTTCCCCCCAGTTCAGAAAATTCTTTAATCAAAGCAGTTTAAGTTTTATAGAACACTGATACTTAGTCATGATTTAAAGAAAGAGACAATACCTTTTAGTGGAACATCTAACTTAACTGGAAAGTCAGATATGCTTTCAGAGAAACACTTACTGCAGAACTGAAAAAAGACAGAACAGACTAAATATAGACCTGGACAACCACACTCTTACAACCTTCAACCACTACAGGTTATGCCCCACAACAAAAGATATACCTCAGCATTTCTTTCTTACCTACCCATACTTTCTCATTAGGTTTTTAGTGTTTTTATTTCTGTAGTCTTAAGTGAAATGTTAAAGACCCAGTAGCTGACCACAGTTTATTTTAGGTCATATTTCAAGGACTCCAATATACTGGAAGGCATAGTAAGGGAGATTATAGTATTGCATCACACCCTAGAAAGAGTTTACTGAAGTTCAGTCTTGTAACCTCACAAAATGCTTATTGCCTACAGAACTTAAGGCAACAGCTTGTTCTATAGTCTGGTGCCTGTGCTGTATCAGTGCTCCTAATTAGAAAAGGAACAGAATGTAATTCTATTTATATCAATCATTCATGGCTGGCCAGTTTCAGCAGCAGACCTGCCAAGGCCAGAACAGGTTGATTTTGTCTTCAGTTCCAATGCAAAACAAAGTAGAAGAGTGACATCTTGTGCTACCCTGGAATCTCATTTCCTTGGGTAAAAATCAAGTTCTTCCAGCAAAGATACCTTTCAAAAACTTCGACAAACATCTAGAGTATCAGAGTTTTAAGACCTTGCTGATGTTTCCAAACAGCACTCAAATAATCATAAGCAGTCCCACTCAGAGTAAGACAACTCACAACTGAAGAAGTTTAAGATTATAACAAAGATAAATTTATCAACAAAAGTACTGAAAGCAGGAAACTGTACAAAGTCTCACTCGGACTTAATAGAGTGATCTTAGATTAACTGCAAGTTTAATTTGGTTAAGAAATTCTTTTCTCAAGCTTCTCTAGGATAGAGGCTGTGGTCCTGTGTCCAATTCAGAGCAGAAGATGAGAAACATTACATACTATGTTTTAACCAAGAGGTGACAAGGAACAAGTTGAGAAGTGGTAATTTTATGCAATTCTAAACAAAAGATAAGAGGCAAGTTCCATCTGTGCCAAGATAGAATACTGCAGTTTAAAAATAGTCTCATGTACAGGCATGATGCCTGTTTGTTTATAAAGCAGAGATTAAGAAAAAAAATTTTTTTTTTCAGGTTTACATCTCCATATTAACAGTGAAACTGCTAATCACTAATTCACAACTCTTATTTTATTTTCTAAAGTACATTCTGCAAGCTGAAGAGGGTCCATGTTGAAGCTATAAGAAACAAAATGCAGATTTTTATTTTTCAGATGATGGAAAGAAACTTGCAAGATCTTCAGTTCTCATCCCACACAATTGAACAGTGTTAATGATTTACATTTTGGCTGGAGAACTACTTAGTGGCTTTTTGATAAGTAACAGGTTAAAAAAGATCACATTGAAGATTATTCTGTAGGATAAAGACATACCTTTCTGAATTTTCTGTGATAGAATTTGAAAGCAGTAGAAAAGCACATTTCCCTTTGCTTTCAGACCATACACAGAAAGCATCTGTGGGCAGAGTAATCTGCAAGTAATTTTTCTCATCTTCTCATCTACCTACATCTCTAGTTCCTAAGCCTTTTTCCTGGAAACATTATAGAAAGTCCTTACTTTTTAAAGCCTGCAGACTGACTGCATAAATGTACAAAGTAACTGGCAAGTGAAGTTCTGCAAAATACATCAGCACTAGTTAAAACTGGATGTCCAAGAAAAGATCTCAAGCAGTACCCTCGCTTCCCTAATTTGCGGTTGCATAATACGTGTATTGACTTCTGAACTGCAACATTTGGCAATATAACGAGGTTTCATATTCAGCAGAAAAAAAGTGTTCCCATCAGATTTGACGATGTATCAGTTCTAGCATATTCTCATTTTTCACCAAGACAGTAATCCCAACAGAACTCATTCTAATACACTGATGAGCCCAACTCACTTCCAGTATTGTAGTATCCTTTGCTGGTTTTGCCAGGGGGGTGAGGGTGGTGGTGTGTGTTTGGTTTTTTGTCTCAACTGCCCTGATAAAACTAGTACATCTCCTTCTGGGCTCTGTTCTTGTTTGATTAAAATCTATGGAAAGCACATTTACAAATTTCTTTTGGGAGTTTAAAAGAAGTTACAGACTTTTCCAAGTCTGGGAACTACAGTAACTAGCTTTAGGATATACTGAAACTCCTGCCTATCACTATCCTTTAGTCTTACTCATGGATTCACGGTTCCCAGCAGATGACAATAAGCAAAATCACACCCTGGAAAGTAACTCGCCTTAATACCAGGAAACAAAAAGAAAACAACATTCAAGATAGTACCTATATAATAACTTGGAGGAGGGGGGATGAGTTATTGTTTGTGTGGCAAAAGGGCCACGAATTGGTACTTTCTTTACTACTTTTATCTGAAATGCAAATGCCTTTGGATATATATCAACTATTGTAACTTTTTTACTGGTATAATCTCCTCAAATAACTGTCATCTTTTTGGTTATATATATTATACTTCCTTCAAACTGAATCAAGTTTTCTGTAAAATTAATTTTAAACTCTGACCACAGTTCTCAAAGAAGAATGTCTTGAAGTAGGTCATAAACTCAATGATAGACTGCCACAGAAAAGGCTTGTGTTTAAAATTAGGAACAAGGCAGCAAACAACATCTCACATGATACTCCTAGATACCTCAGATCACATGAGGCATAAACATTTAAATCACTCCTGACATCTAGCCAGCTGACCATACAAACATGGACACCTCAATTAGCAGTCAGCAGGAATTCACAGAAAAACCTCTTTTGCATGCAAGTCAATTATTAACAAACTTCATTTAGGTGTCTTTCTAGAAAACTTTAGCCAAGTACCTAACAAATTGTTTGCAGAAGGTATCAGAACATTGATATAGTAATTGTGTTGAGTCAGCTCTAAAAGGTAAAGAGTTCAGTGAATCCGCCGCTGATCTTATAAGGACAGGTTATCAGCTCCCAAAATTGATAAGACATGAGATAGTATGCAGTGGTTATTGATGGACTATATGAGAAAACGAAGGAAGAAGAACAGCCACAAAATAAAGGAGATTCTTATTGCAAGCATTAGAAGACAAGCATGTTGAATATAACAAACTGATAAGAAAAGTGCAAAAATATTGTAATTGCATGTAAACATGAAGCAGATATCCAGAGGTACTTGCACAAGATATATTTATAGTTTCAGTATATTTTTAGTGCATTTACATATATTTTCAGTAGATGTTGTCAGTAGAGCAGAGGTGTTCAGTAGGTTGTCCTGGTTCTTAAAGGAGATTTTCCTATATGAATATATTGCCCTGGCTGAATAGGAAACTCTTAAAAAGGCATGAAAGCAATTCAGTATCTTAAGTAGTCCTCTTTTCCCCAAGAACACTTGAGAGAGGAACTCCAAGACAATCACCTTACATTTTAATGAACATTGCATCTTGGATGGCAAGCCTTCAGGCAGGACTCTGGAAGTAAGGTTTTGACTTTTACCTCATGTTTCTTCTCCTAGTGCCACTATTACATGAATACACTTTGATGCTTTGTTACTTAAATCTCAGGAAAACTGAGCAATTGCGTGGCAGTATTTTGCTGTCGGTTCCTATCCATGGTAGTTCGGTCCCTGGTCTTGCTCCCTTGGTATGTACAAATGTGATCTTCAGCCACAATAGCTCCTGCTACTAAGGGACCATTTGATGATGCATAGACCAGCTTAAAAAATAACCTAATCCAAATGAAGTGGTGCCGCTTTCCACATTCCTTGTGCCAGCTCTTCCATTAAGGTAATTCATTTACAAAATTAATCACTTCTTCCTCACCAGGTTAATTTTCTCATGCTTTGACAAAACAAATGAGTCCACAAAGTGGCCAATAAGCAGGCACAAGGAAAGCTGGGGGAGCACTAATGAGCTATGGGATTGCCTTAGCTGTTTCACAGAACCACACCTCACCTAAGCCAGTTAGGGGGCTCTACAAATCTGAGATCTATTGCCACAACTACAACCAATAGTTACAAGGTTGTGTTCAAGCAGATTAGTGTTCAGATTTGAAATTCCTAGAAGCAGTATTTTTGTTGGTACCTGGGGAGCAGAACCAAATTACCCATATATAACAGTGCCCCGTATTTGCAAACTGCTGCTCTACTTCCTCTGTTACTTGGGTAAGCACAGGTCACAACTTCAAGTGGGGTCATTACACAAAACATTTGGGAGCAAGTTACACTGAGTCTTGTGACCATCACTGGTCTAAAACATTTATGAAGTGATCATTGTGTTGACAACATTCCTTTAAACAGCATTCCTCCTTTCTTTATTCCTTAAGATCAGATGGCCAACTTGCCATGCACGGAATAAGACCAAACTTGTTAACTCCTCTTTCTACTTAAGTATTTTAACTTCCAAACAGACCAAGAGTGAATGCTTAGATCATGAGACCACATTTACTACAAGATAAAAACATATTTAAAACTGAAGACATATAAGGCATTAAGGGTCTAGATGCCAGCCTGATAAGTGCAGAGGATCAATACTGTATTCCCCCTCATAGGGACTCCAAAACTATCTCAGGCTTGTATAGGCTCGTACAATGCAGCCTTGCATACACCTCTCAATCTCCTTTTGCATTTGTGATTCCAGTGCAATGTGTGTTTTTCTCCCTTCTCCCAAACACCTGTGCTAAGCCAGCAGTTAGAATACCTCCCTAAATGATTCTCCTAAACCCTCCTACCATCCTCATCACAGTAATTCCTAAAAAGCTTATCTTAACATGACACATACGCAAGAAGAGTGAAGAAAAGGTCATGAAAAGTTAACTAGAATCAAGATGAGAACATTTCATGCAGAGCCAGCGAGTGACCGACAGTCCCTTCTTCGCCTCCTTTATTTGTTTGACCTTCACTTGTCATGTCTAATTGAAGCTAAGCTCTTAGTGCAGGTGTTTTTACAATGACAGTTATTTCTATACATAAAAACCCATGGTATTTTACAATACTAACTTACAGCAAATCACTCCCTAAGAGTGCCTACTTTCTCAAACATACAGACAACCCAGAAAAATTATTTATGCTAAAACCCATTGAATTTTCACTTTCTGGACAGGTCAGGACTGGGCAGCAGAACACCGCAAGTTTTAAAATACAACAGTAAGAGATGCAAGTTCTGTAGCATATGATGAAATTCACTTTAACAACAAGAAAGTCTGTGTTTTAAACCACCCAGTGTTGAACGTGTGCTCAACCACGCAGTATTTACCCGAATGCCTCTTCGGAAAACAAAATGTAGGTCAGACATGTTTTTTCAAAGCATCCTTAGGGAACATAGATACTTACAGTAAATCCATCAGTAGTAACTCCATGCTTCTATAACCCGTATCCCAGTTGCTTTTAAGTCTTCCTCGATTCCTTCATAGCTAGAGTTGAATATTGGATCAGCAACTAAAACACTATCACCTTTGGCATCAAGAAGCTTGCACTGGAGTAAGTGCCAAAGCTTATTGCTAAAACCCAGCACGACAGAGCTGGGAAGATTGCTTCTAACCTTCACAGGCAGAACTCTAAGAACTTTGATTCACATTTAAACTCCAGCCTCTTAGGACATCTTTTTGTGGCCTCTTCTTCCAAATCTACATCCTCTCAGCTAGTTCAGCCATCTGTTGAGAACTGTGAATTTGTACATGGTGGTCCTGAGATACACAGCATCTTTAAGAAAGTTCTTGCTTAGCATTTACCCTTTTATGTCAGAAGTTTGTAACAGCAGTAATAAATTCAACAGCAGAGCCTAAATTCTTATAAATGAGCTTAAACTGAATGACATGCCAGTGATTATCCTTTTCCCAGTATTCTTCCCCATTTTCTTACTTTTTCTAACCCCTTTATCATTAAGGTTAGTTGCATAATAAGAACACTCAGCATACTGAATACATTCACTGGACTGACTACTGACATTAGGATGACCACATTCACTTAATGTATTGGAATGCTTAAGAATTAGAATTTCAGTAGACAAGTTATTAAAACATTTAAAATTTATTTACAAGTCTTCTTATCAATGGATACAAAAAGCATCTAACAAATACTTAGAAACCATTATATGAATACTTTCTACAGATTTGTTACAAACTATTTTGTTTTAACAGGTGAAACCACAGGCCAGTAATCAATAATTCATTTTCCATGTTGTGTGACAGAATAAGCCTGCTATTTTTAAAGTACCTGTAGTGTGACTGCTGTAACACCCAGTCACCCCTCTCCCCACACCTGATTCCAGCCTCTTTTATGAAAGGTTCGTGTACAGTAACAACTTGAGAAGCGAGGGTCTAGCTTTAGTTGATGAGCTAAGAACGTATTTAAATGAGCCTGTTTTTTCCCGGCCCCCCCGACAAGCAAAGGCGACCCAGTGTTTTCGGCACGTTCGGGCCGCCCCTG